TCATGCAGCGCCGCCATCTTGCGCCGCCTTCCATTCGCCGGCGGCGCACGGCAGCCGCTAGGCGCGGCCGCCCTTGCGACAGTGAGGGCAAAGGAAGGGCACTGCTACAGGCAAGTGCGGCTTCGTTTTGCGACGCTGGCGGAAGCGCTTTGTGGCAGCGGGGGCGCGGTGAGGGGCGGCGGTGCCGGCCGGCGTGAGGGACAAGGGGCTGTGTGGGCACTGCGGGGCTCACGGAGCTCCCTGGGGTAGACCAAGGATGCCCTTGGGATTGTGTGCCCTGTGTGCCCTTAGGGGCCAGGTGCCAAATTAAGTTAATTACGGCTGGGCCGATGAGTTGTCCAGCTATTTCTAGTACTGCTTCTTCTAATTGTGTCTGTTAAACAGAGATTCCGTGATACTTGTCGAAAGGCTGAGAGAGCTGGAGGTGTTGAGGCTGGAGAAAAAAAAGACTCCAGGGAGACCTTGCAGCACCTTCCAGTGTCTAAAGGGACTACAAGAGCGCTGGAGAGGGACTTTGGATAAGGACATGTAGTGGCAGGGCAAGGGAGAATGATTTTAAACTGACAGAAAGCAGGTTTAGATTAGATATTAGGAAGAAATTCTTTACTGTGAGAGTGTTGAGGCACTGGCTGTGCACAGAGAAGCTGTGGATGCCCCAGCCCTGAAGTGTTCCGGGACAAGCTGGATGAGGCTTTCAGCAACCTGTTCTAGTGGAAGGTGTCCCTGCCCATGGCAGGCGGTTGGAACTAGATGATTTCTAAGGTCCCTTGCGACCCAAACAATTTAATTATGTTACAGAATTAAACCCTTATTTTGAATGAAACTGGTATTGTGTGATTTGTAGTCTTTCGGGACAAATAAGTTCATTGGAGAGTCGCTTGGAAAAAAGAATTAAGGAAAAAAAAAAAAAAAAAGCAGTGGGGATATAAACTATAATCCGATTGTTGCCCAGCGCACGCGCGGTAGAGCAGCATTGCGTTATTTAGAACTACATTTCCCAGCGTGCCCCGCAGCGCTCCCACGCCTGCGCCCCGGGCCCAGGACCGACCCGTGGCAGCCCCGGTCCGTGGACATGGAGGGAGACACCGGATCTGGGGTCCCAGCGCTGTCGGGCGGGGATGGAGCGGGCGCGGGCCAGGGCTTGGGCCCGGCCCATGAGGACCGGGACATGGAGGGGGCCCCCAGCTGCTCGGGGTCACGCTCCCTGCCCTTCGAGTTCGAGCGGGGTCGCTCGGAGTCCAGCGGCGATGAGGACGACGACGACGAAGACGACGAGGAAGAGGAGGTGGAGGAGGAGGAGGTGGAGAGCGACACCAGGGCTCGGTTCGGAACGGATGACGGGGAACTCGATTCGGACGACGACCGGGAGGTAAAGGTGGCGGGAGGGTGCCCGGGGCACGCCAGGCCCCGCTCCCGGCGTGCCCCGCGTGTGGTAATGGACTTTTTATTATTTTTGCTATTTTGTTATATTTGTTATTTATTTTAATATATATTTTATTATTATCCGAGTTCACTTCATCTGTCTCATTTAAGTGAAGCCCTTGCAAACTCTCGGCGTGGCTGAGAGGTTGGTGGAGGGTGGTAGAGCGTGGCACGTGGGCGAAATGAATGGTGTTATTGAGGGAAAGAAAGCCTTTTAGTCGGGCTTTGAGACGAGAGGAAACGTAAGAATCTAATGTGTCAGCTCTTTCAGACATATCTCAGATCGTCGCTATTGAAGAAATTTGTTCTTTTTTGAAATTGTATTATTCAGCCACGAAAGCTGTTGTGGAACTACTTGTGTGCGATCCCGGTAAATGTTCTTCATGACTAGGATTCAAAGCAGTGAAATTTCAGCTTTTGCCTCTGTGTGTATTTGTATAATCCGTAACTGTGTGTACAAACAAGAGATGACTCTTGTCTCTTGTCATGCAGACTCTCTGTATCTTGATTTGGGACTCCAACTGAGCATTGCTGAGCATTTCCAAATAATAATGTTATTTACCACCCCAATCACTTCAAGCTTGCTGGTTATGTGATATTTTGTTAAAAGAGTTTATCCAAAAGAACTTCTCCCAAAATGATTGCTTAAAGTTTTCTTTTTAGGTATGATTAATTAAATAAATTGGATTACTGTTGTCAAAATCCTTAATTTAGAAGACTAGGTAGAAGTCTTCAGAAAAGAGCTGTATATGAGAAGCAGCTGATCTGTTTGGAAAACCCACTCCTGTAACATATTGATCCCATTTTTTCCCATGGTTTTAGGGCTATGGTATTTTGGAAGCTGCAGGGAATTTCATGGCTTAGCTTGTGTATTCAGACTTACCAATTTTTGTTTGCAGCGTATGATAAACCTCTCAGAGTTGACCCCCTACATCCTGTGTTCCATCTGCAAGGGTTACTTTATCGATGCTACAACTATTACAGAATGTCTGCACACCTGTAAGTATTTGTCAGTATTGTTTAAGGGTTTAGTTGCAAATTCAAACCAATTCAGCTGTTGAAATGTTCTGAGTTCAGAAAAACAATTCTTTGTTCAAAGTGAATGTGTGTTGCATTTATTCTTAAATTTTTTTTTTTTTTGAGTAGGCTCTGGGAATTTGAGTGTGTAACTAAGAAAAGAAGGTTTGTGCGTGGCTCTGCTTTTAATGGACTAGAAAGTTTCCTAAGCTGTTGTTGATGTGAGCTTGTAAATTCACAAAACCCCATAAGCGCCTGTGTGGAAGTACCGGTTCAGATACAGAAACTGTGGTCTGCACCCATGGGACAGTTTGTCCATAATCTGATGAATGGAAATAGGTGGGTAATAAATAACTGATTTCAATGTGCTTGTCTTGTTATTTTTCCACCTTGATCCTAGTGCCAACAATTTTCCCAGTACTAACAGAACTGTTTTCTCTCCAAACTAATAAAACACTTTCTTTGAAGCTAACTCTTTCAGCCACACCCATGTTCATACCTGAATCCAAGAATCCTGGTTTACTAGATCTCCCAAACTTCACACTGTATAGAGGGAAAACTTTTTTTTCTCTCTATTTTTTGTTTTCCTTTTTCTGGAGCAGTACTCACTAGGTTGTTCTATAGCACAAAGTATTCAGCACAGTTTGCAATTTACAGAGAGGCACAGCTGTTAGTAAGGACAGCATAATGTTGCAAATGCAATAGTGGTGGTGTTTTAGAACTTTCCTGAAAAATGTTATGGAAAAGTTTCCTCTGTTCAGGCTGATGGGGAGCTGACTTGATAGTAGGTTATTTATTCTAGGTATTTCCACTTAGTAGCTTTCATTCCAAATTTTAAAGGACTTGTAAAACATAATGAAAATGGCAGTTATGATTTCTTAATTTTCTTACCTTGTTTCTACTGAAAGTGTTTGTACGGTGCTTTTCAGCAGTCAACATGCTGCCTTAGCTCTGCTCAAATTCTATATACACACTGAACACTCACCCATGCATCCTTTGGATTAGGAGTGTTCAGTGACTTCATTTTGTCTCTGACAAATTTTGTATGGGAAGTCTGAGTGTATTTACCCCTTTTGCCTGAGCAGATGGCACTGTGTAATGGACATGTGACTCCTACTGGTTTCTTTTCTTTACAGTTTGTAAAAGCTGCATCGTGAGACACTTCTATTATAGCAACAGATGTCCAAAGTGCAATATTGTTGTACATCAGACACAGCCCCTCTATAATATCAGGTAATAAATTTGTCCCATGTTTTGTTGTACAGACTTGTAGTGCTTTCCTATTTGAAACAAAGGATGGTTACAAGAAACACGTTGTGTTCTTTTGAACTATTGTGAGTTTCACCACCATAATTAAGATAAAAAGACTCTCTTTATTGTTTTATCTAGTTTGTATCAACTTCTAACCATTTCTAGGGTTTGTACCCCTGCCTTGGATATTTTTATGCATTTGCTCAGTGCTACAAGTGATATAAACAATTAACTATTTGCTTTGATTTCCTTTTAAGAGGAAATCTTTTGGGCATGGTATATTTATTAACTCAAAAAATTGAGTTTTACCTTCTTGAGCTATTCATGAAGGGAGGTACTTTAAACACCATGGCTTCTGTTGAAGCTCTGCTGTCAGGATGAGTATTTAGAGATGTGAAGTTGCTGCTCTGTCACTCTATGTACATCCCATTTCAAGCTGTATTTGGCATCTTTGTTACAGCTTACTGAAACCATTTTGTCTTGCACCAAAGTTTTTTTGTTTTTTTTTTTTTTTCATAGACTGGACCGACAACTGCAAGATATAGTCTATAAATTAGTTGTCAACCTGGAGGAAAGTAAGTCACTTTCTTTTTTATATTACTGTGTAAAGATTAAAAAGAACAGAAAACAGAGTATTTCAAAGTCTTGTTTCTACTATGGACTCCTT